AAAACGAGAGTGGATCTTCCGCTAGAATATGGACCTGTCTCTTATACACATCTAGATGTGTATAAGAGACAGCACACACACACACACACACACACACACACACACAGATCCGAGACCCAAACGAGTCCAGCGGAATGCTCAAGCACCACACGTGATTCTTAAGCCGCTGGTGCCTCCTGGAAAGTCGGTGCAATCCCTGCAAAGAGGGAAAAAAACACAAATTGCGGCTGTCCAATCGTCAATCAGAAGGACAAACTGAGCAACGGCGGGAACGGGTGCTTAAATCAACCCGACCTCCTGAGAATTCAAGCCAATTGCTGCAGAACGGGGTGAGGGGGACGAAATCGTAACCGTCGATCCGTCAATCTGACGGAGGAACTGAAAAAAACGGTACGCCTGGTGGAAACCGGTGCTGCAGTAAAAGAAGGCAGAGCTGGGTTAACTCGAGAGCCGTCCTCCCAAGTCTCCTTACATCTGTGCTGTGTACTCAAGTACTTAATAACCGCACTTGACAATAGACGACTCCATTACCGCAGTGGACAGAGAACATAAGATGCTGCAGAGCTGTAGGCCACATGAGAGCTGAAAACCACCACCAGTGCCACCGAATTTGGGACTCGATAGATCCGCAAACACCTGCATCTCGGAGACGTAAAGTCAGAACCAAATCTGAGGAGAAAAAACTAAGTACGACGATGAATTGGCCAAAGAACCTCTAGTTGCACCAGTCAAGCACATTTGGGCCAACAGCCAGAGCATCCTTCCTCCCGCAGCCAACTCATTCTCCCAATCGTCTGCACAAATCAACCGCACAGAACAAAGGAGGGCAATTTGCATAACATGTATAAACTTATTAGGATAAAGTGACAACAACGAACGCCAACCACACTGAACAAGCACAGGAATCTACAATGAACAAACCAGAAGGCCAGCTAATCAGGAGGCCAAATGGTACTAACATATATACATATATACACATGATAACATGTGCATACCTCCTTGGGGTTCGATAAAAGCAGCAGCTTACAGCAGTTAAAGTGCATCTTCCTGCCAGAGAAACCGAACATGGCATGTCCGTTCCAGCTTTGTCAAATCCTCGCCTGTGTACAACCGAACATGGCATGTCCGTTCCAGCTTTGTCAAATCCTCGCCTGTGTACTCACAAGCTACGGTTAAGTCCTCTGCTATCGCCTCTACTTTTTAAATGAAGGGACAGGTACTCACAAGCTATGGTTAAGTCCTCTGCTATCGCCTCTCCTGTTTAAATAAAGGGACAGGTACTCACAAGCTATGGTTAAGTCATCTGCTACTGCCTCTCCTTTTTAAATGAAGGGACAGGTGCAGTTTCAAGGTTGTTAAGGTGTCGTTGTTATGAGTGGATCTGACAGAACTTCAAGATGGATTACAAACATGAAGGGGCACCCAAGGGGGGGAGGGGCTGTACTCAATCAACAAATAACGTTTGCGTAGGGGCACTCAATCAATGAAGAACATGCGAGTACGCTTTGTCGACTCTG